TACTTCAGTAAATGGCCGGAGGTTTATGCTATCCCAAATCAAGAAGCCAGGACAATTGTGGATGTGTTCAGCAAAAATTGGATTTGTCGCTATGGTGTTCCATCTGAGGTTCATTCCGATCAAGGTAGGAATTTTGAATCAGCGATCTTCAAGGAAATGTGTGACTCCTACGGAATTAAGAAAACCAGAACGACGCCCCTACATCCACAATCAGATGGCATGGTGGAAAGATTCAATCGCACCCTTGAAGAACATCTACGGAAAGTGGTGGACAGTGGCCAACGAGACTGGGATGAGCATATTCCAAAGTTTTTATTGGCTTATAGATCGGCCATTCATGATTCCACATCCCGGACCCCAGCCAAAGTTCTGTTCGGAAATGAATTAAAGCTACCTGGCGATTTGATATTCGGTGCTACCCCAAACGACGATGTGAACCAAGATGAAGACAGCCAAAACTCTTTTAGTAAAGTCCACGATGCAGTCCGACATCGAATAAAAATGGTTAGCAACCGCATGAAGGCAAGGTACGATCGAGCGGCAAATACCGATGGGTTTCAAGAAGGGCAACTGGTACTATTGTTCAACCCACAACGAAAGAAAGGACTATGCCCCAAATTGCAAACGCACTGGGAAGGACCCTACAAGATTGTCACGAAAATAAATGACGTCGTTTATCGCATCCAGAGGAGCGACAGTCCCAGGTCGAAGATGAAAGTTGTACATTTGGAGCGGCTGACCCCCTACGGAACGGGAACTGTGCCTATTCGGGACGAACAGGCTTAAGCGGGGGGCAATGTTACGAATATAACTTTAGATTTAAGTTCATTTAGATGAATTCCGTTAATTTAAGAATTTGAATTGTAACGTAAATTTCTACTACGCAGTTTATTTGAATAACTTCACAACAACAACCACTGTATAGATTTTTCTACATCCTTCCATTTCCTCTTTCATTTTCTATTTTGTTATTGTCGTACAATTCTTGTTAAACGTCATTCCTCTTTCTTTGTTATTCCCTCGCCTGTATATGTGTTGTTGTTATTGTAAGTTTGTTTACTCAAGTTTGTTGTTGTTATTGTTCACTCAGTAAGTTTGTTGTTGTTATTGTTACTCAATGTGTTTGTTGCATTGGTAGATTGTTCGTGATCTAGGTGTTACCAGATCGTCTAGAAACTTCTGTAGCGACAGGCAGGGCTCATATAAATAGAGGGAATGGAAAGGGAGTGAGTCAGTTGTGAATCAGATCGCGAATTGAAACCGTCGTGTAAAGTAAAGTGCAAAGTAAAGTTGTGTGAATAAAATCATTGTAATAATCGTAATCTGAACGAACCCGCGTTTTATTTGGTACGAACTGTATCGGGAAATAAAACAACGTCTACCCGGGAATAAGTGAAGTCCAAGAACGTAACAATATGTAAAAATATCTCTCATTTGCTGCAAGACCGGCATAAGTTAAAAATGGTTTTTGCAGAAAATACGTTTTATGTTATCATATACATACCATCCAACAAATAATAGAGGAAATTTTGAATTTTTTTGCCCAGCATGAAGTCGGATGCAGCAAATTATCGACATATGTATGTTGATTTAGCCATGACAGTCTGTGGTAATCACTTTAATTTCCGATTACATTAATATGTTACCTAAAATTTTGTCAGATATACTCCAAGTTTATATATAAAACATTAAATGTTTTTGTCCGAGCTAAGAAACTTCTGCAACAACAAAGTTTGCTGGACAACAGTTAAACACGAGCTGGCTATATGAAAGAAAATACATTAGTTATGTTTGAAATGATTGTTGGAATGCAAAAAAATTGTTTATCGAAAGAAAACGATCAATGAATTCTTCCTGCGCCCTTACAACCAAAAGATTAAAAGTTTACAATTGCACTGCGAAAACATGGTCACCCATGCACAATTTGTCGACAACTGAAAAAGCTAGCCAAAGTGGTTTACGCAGATAGAGAACAAGATTGCCATATACAAAAATGTGGTTGCGGGTCGGAAAAATTTTAAACCGAGTTTTTAAGAGCGCTGTTCAAAGGTGCCCCACGTTCAAAGGTGCCCCATCTCCCCTACACAATCAACTAAAAAATATCATAGTAATGATTAACTTAGGGAGTAGCAATCTTCACAAAATATCCTCCGTTCAGTCCCGTGTTTTCTCTGAAAACCTTTGGATTTACTAGAAAAAAAATTATAACGTCACAGTCCTAAATAACTCGTTAAATATGTATACTCTTCAAACCTACCCAACATAATTCAAATGCAACCATGTTAAACACCGACGGTGGCAGAGGGGCCGGGGGGAATAAAATTCGATGTCGATTTACGCATGTCCGTCTTTATGTTGAAATCACGACAGAGATCGTAATGTTTGTGATAGAGCTCTGAAATTTTGCACAGACATTGCTAGTACTCCTAGGATGTTTGGTATTGCAAATGGGATGTATCGGTCCATATAACTGTACTCCCCAATATTCGGTATGTAAAGGATTATGGACACATTTTTCCACCGAATTGGCTGTAATTTGTCATTACCAAAAAATATCAACATTGATCTCTGTTTCATTAAAACCCTATGTAACGACAGCCCCACTATCAGATATTTTGAGAATATCTATCATTTTTTCATCACATATTTTTTGGTATGTTCAAGTTCCAATCATAACATGTTGGAGGGTATAAAAGGTTCGGCCGAACCGAATCGTTTTTACTTGTTTTTAAATAATGTGGGAAAGACAGTTTGTCAACAATTATCACATTTGAACCCTTTTATAAGGAATATATTTTTGATAAGAGTAAAATTTTATGTCGATTGAGCCCTGTCCATTTCAGACATGTTTTCGCACTGAGATAGTTCGAATTTAATATTTTGATGGCAAATATTCTACCAGGAATGATCTAACGCCAATACATAGAGGCTGTAAAGTGACATTGAAGGATCATGGCGTGTAGACAACTTTTTATATAAGCCCATATTTCTATTTAGCCACGCATCCAATTTTCCAAATTGAGTTTTGTATACCGTTTTCTCCAGGCAGCACGTCCAAATCCAAGAGGATTGCACATTTTCGAGATGGGGATTCGATTTGGCTGAACTTAAAATAATTTTCTTCTTTTTTGGTTTCAGATATTCTAGTCAGCTGCAAATACTAATTTATCACCAAAAAAATAACAACAACTTTTGTAATGTACAGTGAGTGTAATAAGTATTTTGCCTCAATACAAATTTGACAAAATTCCAATATATACGTCAAAGCATACTAAAGACGTAAAATGAATTATGTGTAATGGAATATGTTTGTGGACATATTTAGATCGTATTTCTGCAAGAATCATTGCGATAGACCTATTGGTCTCGAAGAAATCGGCCGAAATCTATAACAACCCAAAAATGTTTATCACAAAAAAGTATTTTGCTTTTTATTATTATTTTAGAAAAAAATATTACATAAAACACGTTTGGTCCTTTTATAGTTACAATTGCGGTTAACCACATACTATAAGCGATTTGTCGACGATTCCAATACATCATGGCATTTTTTCGTGGGTATTTTCTCACATTTACATTCAATACATTATCGATCAATATTTCATTTAATATTTCGTATTTTCTCGTCCTAATCTTAAGATAAGGGTATTAAGCATAGGCATTGCGGCTTCAAAACATCCCAAATATGTTTAGAATAATAAAAAAGAGGTTTTGCAAAATATAACGCGAAGACACAGTCTTAAAAACTATTAAAACCAAAATCCGACAAACAAATTATTTAAAAAAAATCGCCAAACCAAATTTTTCTCACTTCGAAATTTGTATGATCCTGTAATATTGATCTAGCAACCAATATATGCAATGGAAATACCAATAAGGGGGTCAGAATCAAAGATATGAACAGTTCTAAAGCAATAGTAATAAAAAGCAATACATGAAGTTGGGAGAAAACATCATTATTCGTCAAATCCTATTGTCTTTTGAAAAACTGTGGTTGCTGGTGGCGAATACGCATTCTATATTTTATCTCCGATTAACACCATCAGTTGCGAATAAAATGCAGTAGGGAATAAACGGGTCGATCTATTTATTTTCGAAATAAGATGTATTTCTATTGCCAGAAAACCGTCCATATCTTTGAATCTGACCTCCTTATTGCTATTTTCATAGTATATTTTGGTTCCTAGATCAGTAATAATGAACCATAAAGTTTTCGAAGTTAGAAAAATGGGGTTTCGCGATATTTTTTTACATAATTTATTTGTCGGATTTTTGTTTTAATAGTTTTTAAGGTCCTGTCCTCGCGATATATTTTGTAAAACCTCCTTTTTATTATTCTTAACATATTTGGGATGTTTTGAAGCCGCGGCGACTATATTTAATACTCTGATTTTGAGATTAGGACGAGAAATTACCAAATATTAAATGAAATATTGCTGGAGAATGTATTGAACGTAAATGTGAGAAAATACTCACGAAAAAATGCCGTGCTTTATTGGAATCGTTGCCAAATCACTTATTGTATGTCGTTACCCGCAATGGTAACCATAAAAAGACCAAACGTGTTCTATGTAAATTTTTTTTCTAAAATAATAATAAAAAGCAAAATACTTTTTTGTGATAAACATTTTTGGATTGTTATATATTTCGGCCGATATCTTCGAGACCAATAGGTCTTACGCTATGATTCTTGCAGAAATACGATCTAAATATGTCCACAAACATACTTCATCATACATAATTCATTTTACATCTTTAGTTAGCTGGCATTAGGCGTGTATATTGGAATTTTTTCAAATTTTTGTTGAGGCAAAATACTTATTACACTCACTGTATATAATATATATGTTTGTCACTTCAAACATCCATAATAGTTGACATCCTATATAGAATCATCGAAATTTGAAAATAAACCTTAAATTAAAAAACAATTATAGTATTTTTTATACTTAATTTATTATAGTTAAAATATTTGGTACAATTAACAACAACAAAACAAATTATCCATAATAAGCTGCAGCTGAGGGTATATCTGCAACCAGAAAGTTGGCCGGAACAAAAGCATACACTTTTCCAATACGGTCCAGCATTACGGTTTCCACCGATTGTCTTATTGCGGGATTTAAAATTTGATATAATTCTCGCCAATTTTCATTGAACAGGGCATTTGCACTATCCTCTAATTCCTTTTGACCGTTGAACAGATTACCCATGTAAACAGTGAATCCTCCAATGCTCGTAATATCCAAATGCAACTTTTCAATGTCGGTGAATGTAAAGCCGCCTTCGTCCCGCAGCTTCAATTTCATTGTTATGTGGACGGCAAATTTCTCTGAAAGAAATTAATATTTGAAATTTAAAACATTTTGTAAATAATTTTATAAAAAAAAATCCTTAAAGGGAGAAATCCTTAACGAGTTGAAATCAAAAGATACATAATAAATTTAAAAATATCACATTGACCGTTACTTACCAGCACTCAATGTCAATTTTCCATTGGAATTCAATGGCAGGCCCAGAATTTGGCCCTTGGCATTGTAGTCCGAATTCATGGTGAATTTTGGCACAAATATTGTGGCTGATGAAACTAACTTTCCAAGATCCAATCTATAAATTGATCGATTCGTTTACCTTTCAATGGGAATCAAAATGTGTGTGTTTACTCACTGGGTATCTTGAACTTGAGCATTACCAAGACCAGTTATAGCAATATCGCTTAAAGTAGCATCAACTACCAACGGCGATTGATTGTGTTGGATTGTGATGCGTTTCACAAGAAGGGGATCCAATGAACCGATCGATTTCAGACCAGGAACACCTAAGAAAAAAAAATAGATTTATATGGACGATTATTATTACGAAATAAGCAGTTGATATCCTCAAATGAAAGATATGATAAAAGGGCGAGCCATATTTTCCATACGATGTATCTGTAATTAGTCATTTTTGGTGTTCATAGAATAGAAGACCACATACCAAAAACCAAGGTGTATTTAATAATGCATCAGATACAACAACAAATATTTTACAAAAACAACATTGTTGTTATAGAAATTAAATTGTCATGCTGACAATAAGTTTTTGACAAAAATAAACAAAAACAATTATAAATTTATTTTTGTCAAGAACTATTCTTTGATGAATAAATGAATGAATTTGTGTATTCTTGGGTTATTGGCGGTTTTAGGTCAGTGAAAAATAAATGTTAAGACCTGGTCGCGATTAATTTTAAGTTTCCCACAGTTAGCCCATGGCTCCTTGTGACGTTGTTTATATTGTGGTTTACAATCTATTTTTTCTATGGAGTGGCTTCAAATCTTGCCTTCTTAAAGAAAATTGAAGTACATAAATCCCCGGACAACGACTAAATCATGGAAATTATGTTGGCCGTATAAAACCTTTACATAGGCGTATTTAACCTCCGCCGAGAATTCTGACAAGCACCAAGGGGCCGATTCCAATATAGGCTAACATATCCTCCTCGATTTTATGAGTAGCTGGGATTTCTGGACAGATTTCCACACATAACATAAAATATGCGAACGGGGTTATAACTGAGCCTAAGTTTCCTTTCCGTCCCCTCTATGAATGTAGCATTCTTGAATTTTTATTATTAAAAAAACCTAAATTTAAAGACCATTTTTGAAATTGAAATGTAATATTGAAATTGTTTTTGACAATTTACTTTACAAACAATAGAGAAAAAAGTTTGAAACCATATGATTGTCACTTACACCTTATTAACAGCCTGTTTTTGTAAAATTCAAAAACGAACGAATTCGAGTGACTTACGACCAAACTCCTTGGTTTTGAAAAATATGTCATTTATTTTTTTTTTGAATCAGAAAACATTTATAAACATAAATAAAGGTTTGGTCGTAAGTCACTCGAATTCGTTCGTTTGGAATTTTACAAAAACAGGCTGTAAATACACCTTGCCAGAAACTTTTCAATTAATGTCAATGTTTTGACATAACCTCGTTTATAAGACGGTAATATTTCGGTATTTTGAAGGTCCTAGTCTTTAATCGTTTCCAAAAATATTGCCTATATGTTGCTACTACATCTAATATATTTGGATTAGAATTGGGATATAAAAGGTGTATGTTTTGACATAATTTCCCGTTTCGGTATTTTGAAGGTTATAGCCAACCGAAATGGCTGTAATTGGTCATTTTGCAGGATGATAAGCATTTTTGGAGAAAATGGTCGAGATATTGGCATATATCGACATTGTCGATATATTGGCATATATTGACAAAGGCCCGAAATATACAAGCCCCGTCTGATTCTATGTAGTTTAAATAGTCTCCCCATGGTTCGAACTTCGTTTTTACTTATGTTTTTTTGGGGCACTGATTGATTTTCGAAGGACGTAGCCATTTTTCTCATTGAAATTGAATTACGGAATTATTTGTGTTGTCTTTCGAATCCTCGTCATACGGTCTTAAAGGATTGAATAGAACATATCCCTTGAGATTTGTTTTCGTTCCCAAAAATTTATTTATCAAATTTGTCATTCCGTTTGCAACACCTCGCATTTTCTTATTGATAAATACATCTTCAAACAAAAAATGATCGACATTGGTAAAATTTTTAGGGTAACCTCATATAAATGTTACCCACATCTCGGCATTTTGGATTCTCATTGGGTAGAATCTTCCTACGAAAAATTATCAATACTGGCCTAAGTTTTAGGGTACACTTCATATAACGGTATCCACACATTATTCTATATTTTGGGTATCGTTCCACCTTTTTTAACCAAAACGACTCTAATTGCATATTGTTCTTAGGGGGTGCCCAATTTTTCAACAAAAAATTATCAGTATGGGTCCATGTTTTATACTTTAGCCAAAATTTACAACCTGTCGTTTGGTATTTCGTTTTATTCTTTATAAATGTCCCGATTGATTGAATGTAGTCCCGATCGAACTTAATGCCGTTTTAACTTTTTATCTGAATTTTTTCTATAACACACTTCTCTAGAATTTCACACAATTTGTTTATGTTATGTTTCCATTAAAAATATTCTTTATATTCCTTACCACTTTTCCAATTGTGAAATACTCCTTGAAAATTATTTGCAAAGCATTTGTTAAAATTGGGATCCTTCGTTAAACATGGTGTCATAAAATTAGCTAAAAAAAATAATTCAATATTAAATACTACTCAATATTCCATTTCAAATAAAATGCTATTACGTACGTTTCTCTGTGAGTATTTTGGCCCCGCTAGTAAAAGCTGCAAATGCCACAACGCAAATTAATAGAGCTCTCTTCATTATCAAATATTGAAATTGAAATATTAAATTGATTTTAATTGTTTTGTATAATTTCTTTCTTGTTAATATTTTTGCTCCCTCTGTTAGCAGCTATTGGTTAATACTGATCGAATTTTTGAAACCGAAAATGTTTTTATATAATTCTTGGTTACAGATGTTTTTGTTGAAGATTATATTTTTTTATTTGATTATACTTGTTTGATACGGGTACAATTTTATTTTACAAATTTATTATTTAATTTAATGTTAATACTCATCGAAATAATTATAAAGAAAATATATTTTTCTCATTTTTTTGATAATTTACATTGCATTTATTGTTATTAATTAACACTAGAACGCCGAAGGCAGTCATTTTGACCGCTTTCCAATTTCAAGTAAAAAAGCAACTGTGCATTTAATGACACTTTTTTTTAAAATATGGTGACTTTTTGTATCTCATAGAATTACGTTTATTATAAAAAAATCACCAAATTTAAAATAAAAGTGTCATTAAATGCACAGTTGCTTTTGTACTTGAAATAAGAAAGCTGCCAAAATGACCGCCTTCGGCGTTCTAGTGTTAAAGGTTAATGCCTGCAAAACTCATAACCACGCGACAACACAGGTGTGGGTCGTCGCGAACTAAGTCTTTTGACCAATATCAGCATCTTGCAGTCACGTCGGCTATAAAGGTCCATGTCAAGCATTTTTGTTTTGTTTCTATTGTACACCGTGGGGTCTTTGGTGCATCATTTGATAAAATTGACCCAAATATATTATATATTAATTAATTAATAATCGTAAAAAAGTTACACATTTTCGCGAAATATTATTGAATCACTATTTTCAATTTATTAAAGAAATAAATTTAATTAAAAAAAAAACAAAAACTAAAAATTGGGATAGAATACAATTTGCTGACACAATGTTTACAAGATGAACAATATTACGCTATTTTATGAATTTGTACGAAAACACCAACAATACTATTAGTGGTAATTATTCGAAAAAATTCGAAATCAAAACACGCTCCCCAAAATTAGGAAGAAAATTTAGGTATGCTTTCGATATAAAAAAAAAAAACATATTCATTTAATAACTTTAATAAAAATGACTGTAACAATAAGCTTCAAATTATATTTTTAATTTTACCAAAAGTATTGATTTAAATGCAAGTTCATAGACCATTTTGCACGTGTCGTTGCTAGGGATTTGTTATAATTGAAAGTGTTTATACACGTTCTGAATATTTTATTTGAAATCAATCAGTGACCTGAATTTGTCTAGGTCAATATATTTTATTCTAATTAAATCCCATTTTTGTTTAATTAAACCAGTTATATTAATCAAAGAGTATTTCTTAATTCGATTTAAAATAAATGATTTTTTTAATACGACGAAACGAGTTTTTCTTTGCAAATAAATTGGAATTAGATGTTATCAAATATTCAAACATTTCTCCAATAGTTAGTAAGATTCAAAAATCGTACATTGATTATAGAGGTATATGAACAATTGAAGAAGTTATTTAGTAAGTTATTTAAAATTTCTGATTTTAAAAATGTCCAATGAAGACAACACTTGAACTAAACAAAGAAAATGCTTCGTATAATTAAGATCGTAAAAAATTAATTTTTATAAATTTGAAGTACATTTATATAATACTACTTAATATACATACACATGCAAGTAATTAAATATATTATGAATTATGAGAAAGAAAAATTCGTAGAGTGACACACATTTGTGTGGGTGTGTCGTCTTATTTCTTTCTGCTACATATTTGCTTTCCTTCAATTTTCTGCAAAATAAGATCCATGTCGGCAATTAATTGTTCCAGAACATCTTCCAACAGCGTAATGCGATTTGTTAAACTGTAATTGAAGCAGTTGGTTGGTAATAAATGAAATGAAATAAGTTGTGAAAGCGAGAGGAAATGGAATTTAGAGAACTCAAAAAAGTAAATAATAATTGGGAAAATTTAATTTTGTAATCTGCATTCCGGGTTCTTGTAGAGTGAAAGACTCCTGTGCAGAAACGGTTCATTATAGGATCCTGCTTTGACGTTGGTCCCACCACTTTTAAAGTATTTGAGTCTTAAGGTTCGACGAGGTGGAACTTAACTACGCTTTCAGTTGTTTTAACATATTATTTTATTGTAATACTTTTAGTCCAATATCATTTCGTATAAAAGCTTTCGGGTTGCAAACAAATAGTTAAAATAGTCAATAGGTACCCTTTTCGTAACTCAAATTATTAATAACCAAAAAATTGTGCAGCAGACAGCTTCATATTTTTTAATCCAAAATTCTAATCTAAAATCAAAAATAGGATTCGGATGGGCTCAAACGTTCAGTGCCAAACGTTCAACCACCCTGATATACTGATGCTGAGTATATACATTCCGACTTCGACCAGAAAAAATAATTCGTTTATAATATGAATAGTGTTCAAATGTTGCTAATGTCAGATTTCTACATTTTATGAATGCAATTCATAAAACAATACTGCAATACTGCTTTCTTGTCAGAGAGAGAAAAATATCCTACACAATGTTAAAATTGAGCTTGTTGTTCGTATCAATACTTTTTTGTTATATTGTATTCTGCATTTATATCGAAATAATTTGAAAAACACATATGTGAATTTTAGAACAGCAATGCAGTGTCTTAAATAAAGAAATGCAAAACCAGCCACAATCGTGAGGAAAAAGACAGAGGACGATATCAAAACAATACAACCACAGTGTGGGGGTATATTATTTTATTCCTCCGTTTGTAACTCATCGAAATAATCATTTCCGACCTCATAAAGTATATATACGCTCATTTGCTGCAAGAGAGACATAACTCAAAAAACGTGATTTTCGAGTTAATGATGCCCGATTGTTCGCTATAAAAGATCTCATGTTGTGTAAAAAATTCATATGATATCTCTTGCACACTCTAATTGAGAAGCTGTAGAAGTTCCTCTGTCCCATATAAAGTGTGAGTAAATTGAAAACTTAAAACGCATTTTCGGTAAAATCGTGTTTTTTGAGTTATGCCCGTGTTGCAGCAATTGAGCGATAATTCTTTGACGTAAAATTCTATGACGATGTAGCCATGTCCGTCTGTATGTCTGATGTAATCACTCTAGCCTCTAAATGAATTGAGATGGATGGCCAAAATTTTGCATAGATTCGTCTTTGGTCTGCTGGCAGGTCAACTTCGAATTCGCTGAAATTTGGTACATTGGGTTCTTATTTCAGTATTTTGGGGGATTTGAACTCATTTTTCGACCGAATTTCCTGTAATATAATATATTCAGTTTTTATTGTGAAGCAAATCTCTCCATTAAAAATTATAAATATAGGTAATTTTTTGGGTAGTCCAATATAAGGGTTTCACCCAATTTTCGGTATTTTGGGGTTGTTGAACGTGTTTTTCAACCGAATCCACTGTAGTTTGGTATTTTGTAGTCATACATGCTAAAAATGTCCCTCCCAAAAATTATTTATTTATGCCCCCTTTCAGGGTTAGTCCCCATACAAGCCTTTACCACATTGTTGTACAGGGTATTATGTCTTTGTGCATATGTTTGTAGCAGGCAAAAGGAAACGAGATAGACCCATGGTTCCTTTTGAGAATATGGATCTATCACTTTCCGAGTCGATTTATGCATGTCCGTTTGTCCGTCTGTCCATCTTAAATTGTAAACAAAGTGCAGGTCGCATTTATTATCCGAATGATATGACATTTGGCACAGATTATTTATTTGCCCCAAGGAAGAACACTATTGAAATTGGTAAAAATCGGTTCAGATTTAGATATAGCTCCCATATATATTTTCGTCCGATTTTTAGTAAATTGTGCACCAAAGATGAAATTTTGTCTCTTCGCACAAAAACGTCTCTAAATCCGCCCTAATGAAGTGGAATTCGGCATACGTTACCGAGGGTATGTGTCTGGATTTATGCAGCCAATAACAACACATTGTACCAAATTTCAGCGAATTCGGTTGAATAGGGCACTCAATAATCCCACATTATCAAAACTTGGGGGTACCTTATACGGGGGCTATGCCTAAACGTGGACCGATATAGGTCATCTTCGAACTAGACCTGTCTGCAGACAAAAGACCACTCTTTGCAAAATTTCGGTGATCTATCTCAATTTGTTTTGACAACAGATAGACATCGTCATAGATTTTTACGATGAGTTATAAACGGAAAACGAACTTAAGGGGACCCCACATTCTCGGGTCAAATTTTTTTAGATTTAATTAGAATCTACACTAATTCAAGAATATTCCTAAAAAATTGGCAATTTTCCAAAAATATTTTTTCAAAGGTCCGTCATTTTGTTAATTTTAGAGCGAAGTCAATAACCTAGTCCATACGAGAGCCAAAGATGTACTCTTTCTAACACAGTTTGAATTTTTGGATTCCGATGTTCCAGTGAGGAGTTATCATGCCCGCCATCAAAAATAAGGACTTTCCTTTATAAAAAAAAAAACAACAACAAAACAATAACAACAATTTTTTGTAAATTATTTTTCTTCTCTTTTAAATCCTCAAATACATATGTGCAAAGTTACAAACCTTACCCTTAATATACTTTCCATTCTATGGTGGAGGGTATAAAAAGGTACAAATGTACCCGGTTATAGATTGTAGGGTTATTCGGTTCACATATAGACAAAATTCATGTCAATGGTCCTTCAAAAATGCGTCTCTTGAATCAGGGAAAGGTATTAGGTAAAAATAAAACCTACGGGCTCACATTTCTGTAAAATCTGGAGTTCTTATGGAGGTTGGAGATAACAATTCCTACTTGAAACTATACCAATAATAAGCCCTGAAGTGAATCCACTAAAAAGGTTATAAAGGGGTTGAGAGATGAATTCTAAAAAAACATATATCGGTTTTGGTCATCATATATTGGGAAATAAACGGAAATGTTATTTACCGTCTAATGTCATCATTTTCCTTTGAATTGAAAGTTATATTTTTTAGATGATGCTCATTTAGAGGTAACTCTTCGAAATATCTGAAAATAAAAATGTAAGATAATATTGGAAGAAAAATCCTACAATTTAAAAATGTCTCACTTACTCTCTTATTAATTCACTTACACGCAAACGCAATGTATCATCCTCGGGCATAGAACTTTCATTCGTCATTGGATAAAATGTATCTGAACTTCGATTAAGACTGTCCTTGAGTTCCAAATTATCTTCATCAGCATTGGAATATTTTGAATTTTCAAAACCATCGCCTTTCTTCTTCCACCAGTAACATTTCTGCAGCATTCTTGATAAATATGGACCGAAATTGGAACGTCCCTGATTGACTTCATCTTTAACAGCACCATAGGTATCATTTATGATGGCCAGAAACATATTCTGTAAATAGAAAAGTTTTGTTATGATATTTAAATTAAATTAATAATTAATTACCAATAAAATAAAGAACACAAACAGCACATAACTTAAGAAATATAGGGGTCCCAAGATGTAATTGGCTTCTTCTATCAATTCATATTCGAAATCACCCAAAAACATGCGCATCAGTGTAATAACGGAAATTCCAAATTCTCTAAAATCCGGATGGCTGGTGCCGAATATCAGAAGACCTAGCTGAGCATAGGCCAAGAAAACAATAAAGAACATAACAGCAAAACCGCACAAATCTTTGGCACACTGTAAAATGTGATTTGCATTTTGAATTACTTTGATTGGTTTTTATTTAGAATTGAGTATATACCCGCTTCAGTGTTGTACTAAACTGTAGCATTGTTTTATTGATGCTGATATATTTGAAGATTTTAATCCATACCAAAAATACGCATATACCCATCATATCGATATATAGAAGATTCCAAAAACATATTTCATCAATACTCCAAAAAGTATTTGGATTTTCTTTGGAATTCTTAAGAATGTCATTCAAATATTTAAAATGGATCATGTTGTACACCAAGGATAAATAGGACATCTAAAAAATGGTAATAAAATTTAATAGCATATATATAAATGTTTGAAAGTTGACCACCTCTTCGCTTGCAAAATTTAATACTTACCAGTAACACAGAAATATCTAATATATTCCATATGGATTTAAAATAGCTCAAAGCTCCTATCGTTGCAAATTCACCAATCTCTTCACAGGTGTAGAATATTGTCATCAAATAAAATATAACAGCTGCTGCATAAGCTCCATTATCTGCATCTGACCATATTGAATACAATTTGATTGCTTGAAATTGATGGGAGGTTATTAGGCCTCCCACAGGTGGCAGTTCGGCTATTATTCTGTTCAAACAAAAAATAAAATCATTTATTCTGATACTAAAATGCTAATCAAGGTATAGTTGATAAATGACAGATTAATCCCTTTATAATTTAGTTTGTCTTAATAGTAATTAAACTTTTCGATTATATTAATTTAAATATAAAATGTTAAAATATTGTGGAAAATAATATCTATTTCACTAATGAATGATAAATAAAATAGTTCTGAGTAATCGAATTAATCGAAAGATTTACTTACTTTACATTATCGAACATGAGGACATTGTTATTGTATAAAACAAATTCGAGAATAACTATTCTGGTACCACGATCTATCCACTTGGATGATTTTAATGTCTCTAAAATATCTTCATTCTCCATACGATTATATGATAAATTTTGAACATAACCCGCACCATAGTAACGTTTTATTTCACCTCGTAGGGGATTAACATTTAATTGAGATGTGGTATAAAATGTTGTACTGTAAAAATAGAAACAAAAATAATAAATTTACAAAGATATTAATGTAATTTAAAACACATAAAAATAATATTACTTTAATGTGGGGGTATACACGAACATGGACCACAAATAAAAAATATTTTGTTGATAATGAAGTGCCACTACGGAAATCTGAATATGACTTAAAACCAAGGCATCAGAAATACTAAATTGCAGGCAATTTTAATGTCTTTCGCCATAGGGGTGCTGCAGGACTCAATGAGAACACATAATGAGAAATTATAGCCATATCAGGTGGATAACGTTTTTGAAGCCTTAAAATACATAAAGGTTTCTCAAAATGTATAATTTTGTTATGAGAATTTCCTACCAAATCAGACACCATCTTTTAAAATTTAATGTGAATCGAAATACCAAATTAAGTGGAAATGAAATTGAAAAAATTGTGGTAGAACATTCACAATAGAGAAAAGTTGGTTGGCCAAAACGTAGACTGATGAAGTCCATATTAAAAATATGTTCTAAAATGCCAATTTAGTTCATATTTTTATTTGTTAAAAAAAATGTTCAGGGTATGAAGTGGTAACTCTGACAGCCCAGTATGTGTTGATGAGGCGTTGCCAGGTTAACGTGTTTTTTAGGGTTCCTAAGTGTTATGAAACTAAATCCGTTACTTTTTATTCAGATGTATGACTTATGAAAGATTTGACTTAGAAACCTGCCTTTAGGCTTAAGGTGCATAGTATGAAGAATAAACACCGATAGCCTATAATATATGTGCACACACTTATCCTAACTTTGTACGCTATTTTGAATTGCGGTTGTCTTTCTGTTCTGTGTCGAAATGGTGCAATTTTGTAATAAATTTGTGCAATACTCGCATCTCATCTATGGTTAGTATAAAA